AACCCCAACCACTCTGTGATTCTGTGAAAAGAAGTAGGTGTATATTGAGGTAAGGAAATGCGGTATCAGTATACATAATCCCATATTTTCGTCATGTGGTAACATGACACAGAAACTATATATTAAGATATATCTAATATTGATTTAGAAAAGCTAATTTTGACAGCGTGTTTTCCTTTCTTTTTCCTGACCTCATTCTCTAAGCCATGTCATTATTTTACTGCTATAATTACAAGCAAATTAGGCACTGATGCCGTATGCAAAATTTCTTTGAATTAACCATTTTATTGCAATTCAATTCCAAAAGCAAATGGATTCTTTCAGTAAACTTCGAAAAGATCAATTCTGTACTCAGCATTGTGCAGCTCTGCAAGATGCACTATATGTCTCAGCCACAGCAGAGGCCAAGTCTCAATTTTTATATTGAAAATTCAGCTCAGTCGTGTCATTATTGGGGATGCTAAAGTGGCCGACAAACATCAAGAGAATGCTTGCCAGCATATGAGAGAAAACATTGTCATGAAGCAACACAACAGGGGAGAGAACTGTACTTATAGGAAGGATTTTTTGCTTTTGTAAGCATGCAGCAAGTATGCATTGTAATATTTGGGTTTTTTCCTGCATATCAACTGTTTAGCCTTTTTTTGTGTAATCAAGGTGAAATAATTTCTAGTAATTTTAGCAATAACCATGAGCTTGTTAAACCTTTACAATAAATGAATAAAAATAGCATATTTTTATGATAGAAGAGGGGGTACATCCTAATTGGCCAAAATGGACTGTTTGATGCTTATTTGCACCAGAAGTATTAAAGTATTTCCTAATTTGAAAAAAAAAAACCACTTAAATTTTCCACTGCGTTCTAGATTTCATTTAGCATGCAAGATTTTTCTTTTGCAAAGTTACCTAAACATTTAAACAGTTGAAGTGTTAATGGCTAATTCTTATGTTTTTGCCAGTTTTGCCTACTAGTCTGCAGTGTATGTACATTTTTCACTGTCTTGGGAAGTTACATTCCTGGAGTTGTCCTCTCCTATGTCCTGCGTAAGTATAGTCTCTTTTTCAATTGCAATTTATGTATGTGGTTTGTTCATTATTTGGTCTCGTATAGGGAGGGTTTTTTTTATTTATTTATATAAATTTACACACACATGCAAGTTTGCCAACAACACAAAGCTGTGTGGTATGGTTGTCATGCAGGAGGGAAGGGATGCCATCCAGAGGGACCTGGACAAGCTTAAGAAGTGGGCCCATGTGAGCCTCATGAGGTTCAACAAGGCCAAGTGCAAGGTCCTGCACATGGGTTGGGGCAGCCCCTGGTATCAATACAGGCTGGGGGATGAAGGGATCGAGAGCAGCCCTGTGGAAAAGGACTTGGGGATGTTGGTTGATGAGAAGCTCAACATGACCCAGCAATGTGCGCTCACAGCCCAGAAAGCCAACCGTATCCTGGGCTGCATCCAAAGCAGCGTGACCAGCAGGTCGAGGGAGGGGATTCTGCCCCTCTACTCCACTCTGGTGAGATCCCTCCTGCAGTACTGCCTTCAGCTCTGGGGCCCCCAACACCAGAAGGTCATGGACCTGTTGGAGTGAGTCCAGAGGAGGGCCACAAAAATGATCAGAGGGCTGGAGCACCTCTCCTATGAAGACGGGCTGAGAGAGTTGGGGTTGTTCAGCCTGGAGAAGAGACCGCTCCAGGGAGACATTAGAGCAGCCTTCCAGTACCTAAAGGGGCCTACGAGAAAGGTGGGGACAGACTTCTTAGTAGGGCCTGCTGCGATAGGACAAGGGGTAATGGTTTTAAACTGAAAGAGGGTAAATTCAGACTAGATATAAGGAAGAAATTCTTCACTGTGAGAGTGGTGAGGCACTGGAAGAGGTTGCTCAGAGAATTTGTGGACACCCCTCTCTGGAAGTACTCGCTCAGGTTGGACGAGGCTTTGAGCAACCTGATCTACTGAAAGATGTCCCTGCCCACGGCAGGGGGGTTGGACTAGATGATCTTTAATGGTCCCTGCCATCCCAAACTATTCTATGATTCTAAGATATATATACACATATATACATATATATGTAGGTTCTGACACGTGCTTTTTGTCATATGGAAGTTGGTTTACAAGTTTTTTGAGTGTGTTGATTCTGGCACAATGTTGCATAGTCATGTTTCTCAGGTAGAGGTATCAAAATCAGACTAAATCAAGATAATGATAAATGTTACAGTGATCATAACTTGTGCCTTACTGGAAGTGAAAAAAGGTGTCAATTGATATGAATACAATGGTATTTTCTGTGACAAGTAGGAATGGCTCCTTGAAACTGAGTTTGACATTGACAGTTTGTATAACATGGGCATTTCACAGTGCATTTTTCTGTAAAACTAACTGTATTATGTAAAATTAGTAATTATCTTATGCAAATGCATTGTTTAAGCTTTATTGAATAACTTCTTATAAAGCAATATTTCAATACAATTTTTCTCTCTGTCTTCATTTTTATCACAGTATTGTGTGCCTTTTTATGTCCCTTCCTTAAGTGCAATGAATTTGGACAGAAAGTGTGCAAGAAAATTAAGACTGTTCTGATGAAACTAGATTTTGGAATAGTGGAATATATCAACCAGAAGAAAAAAGAGAGATCTGGTGAGTAATGACATATACTCCTAAGTAATGTATTTCTGTATGCAGAGAAAATTTTACTCCCCTTGCAGACAGTTTGGTTTGTCCTGTGAAGCCAATTGTAAAGGTATTTCTTGCTTTGAACCTGGCTACCATCCTTAGCTTTATAAGGAGTGATAATGTATGTCAGATGTCTGAGTATGGAAAAAAAAGAAAAAAATACTTCATGGAATGAAACAAGGCAAGACTGATAGTTCTCTTGATAGTTGATTAGATGTACTGCTTGTAGGTTTTCAAAAAAAACCTACTCACTGTAAGTATGCAATGCTTATCTCTGTTTAGGTAAGGCAAACTTATCCAGGAAAGAGACTCACACAAGAACACAAAATAAGTACAGAACAGAATTTTCAGTAAGAGACTGAACTCTATTCTGGTATCTAAATCCACCTTGTTTTCACTTCCCAACAGCAACAAGAATTGGCTTTCTTCCCCAAATACTCAATAAGCATTTAAGAATTGCAGTAGGATAGTAGCTACAAGTTAATCGAAGTTTTTAGTTAGAAAGGGGAGAAATCAGTTTAAAACAAAATCTCACCTATCTTACCTGAACTCTTTATAACATTGGAAACTTTTAGATTTTAAGTCATAAAGCTATTTCAAAAACAGTATTTATACGAACGATGTTATCTTTAGTTTGCTTTTTGTGTGTGCGGCAGTTTTGGTAATTAAACCTTTGTAGTATTGTCACATTACTTGCAGGTAGACTAGCCTTTTTAGTTAGTGTTACATCAGTAGATTTTGTACATGCTTTAAAACATGCATTTCTTGTAACCGTTCATCATATAATGTGCTTTTCCTAGACACAATGAGAGGAACCATCTGCCTTTTCCCCTTCTCTTACATATAATGCAGAAGTTGTTGGAAATAAGGAGTAATGCATTGAAAATTTTATTTCATGTATTACTCTACCTTGTTCTACTTTTAAGTGAAACTGGCAGAGAGAGATCAGACTATTGTTTCATAAATTTCATAACCCAGCACTGGGGAAATGGTTGAGGTTAGATTCATTCTTTCCTGCCTCCTACCTTCCAGTTTAATTTAACCCAGACAAGTTCCCTACCTTGCTTCACCACTTGGGTTCACCACATGGGTTTACAAATCCTTGTACTGGCACAAGAGAGGAAATAGCAAGTTGCAAAAATAGGCAACCAAGAATAACATGATGGTGTTTTTCAGCTTATATTGGTTTAAAATATTCACGAGGCTATTCTCAGACAGAAAAAGGAGGCAAAATTTATATCTCTCTTCATCTGTAAGGAGCAACATTCTACTGGACTTCAGAGGATGCTTTGTATGCATATTTGCATATAAATGTGAATGCAGGGTAGCTAGGTGCAAAGAAGGGTTTTGTGAATGAAGATTACACGCAATTATCCAGAAAATTGCATGTTGTCATGTAAAAGCAATGTGCTGGGGTAAGTACACTGCCTGTTCTAACAGTATGTTACAACTGTGCATCGTACCAGCAGTGTAGTTTAAAAGACAGATACATATTGCCGGGGCAGATAACATTATGGTGAGCAAGAGAGACTTCTGAAGGAAGTACAATACAGGTAAATAAATCTGTTGGAATGTATTTCAGAGTAACATTATCTCTCCCGCTTTGGCTGCTGCACAATATATTTTGATCAATGTCCAGCCTCTCGATCAGCCTTGTTTCCCTCACCTTAGTAGCATATTACGTAAATGATGCATTGTGTCAACAGGTGAAAGTTTACTGTACTACGCAAGCTGTGTGACAGAGAACACCCACTGAACCTGGAAGTCTGCTGTCATGAGTAGGATAAAAAATATTTTTTTTTTCTTTCAGAAACAGCAAAAACAAAACCCACAGAAGATGACAGTGAATTAGACATATCAGCTCTGTGTCCTAAGGTGACTTTTTTTCAGTCAGCCCTATCTTGCTTTTAAAATCTATATAGATAATGGAGAGTATCTAGACTACTGTCTCTCTTCTTCTGTGGAAGACTTTAACCTGCCCAGGAAGCAGGATGCTTTATAAGTGATTCATAGTTTCCACCTTTAGACTTATACTAATTAACTTACTGCATTTGTGACTTCTGGCCTTCAAGGTAATGGTTTCTTTGGCCTACTAAAATAAGAATGTGTTTATTTTGTTTTGGCTGTAGAATCTTTAAACTAGAATTTAATAGCAAAAGCAGCTATTTTTATTTGCAACAGTGAAATTGCAGTTAATTTTTATCAAATTAGAGTATAAAAGGGAAATGCTTTTAGAAAACCTACATAATTTGTCAGATACTTTTGTAATCGCTTGTCTGATAATTTTCAATGATCTATAAATATCTTTCTAGATATGTAGGAGAACACTCTCATATCTCCTTTCTCTCTTAATATTCTAAACAACTGTATGGCATAGGATTTTCCATTATAATTAGAACACTGTTTGATATAAAAAAATTCAGATTGATAGGAATTATTATGCAGTATCTGATCAGTAGTGTATAGAGCCTGATTTTGACAGTGGTTGCTTTGAAGGTGGTGGTGTATACTGAAAAAAAATAAATTTATATCCTGTGGGATAAAAATTTGTAGCTGACATAACTGAATATTGTTGGATAAATCAACAAAGGATAGTGATTTTTTTTATTTAGCTAATTTTTGACTGTCTTATAGATAATGGGCTGTTTTTTTGATCCAAGTTTATGCATTTCTTTACATTTATGTGTATTTTGTATTTGCAGGCTCATTCTGCTTTCATTACAGTAGGAGATTACTTTCAGAATGAATAACGAATTTTCTGTGCTTCTTTAGTATAATACAGCTTTCAGTTATTACAGAGGGATGCTTCACTTCTAAGTGTTGTATATTTTCATGTTTCTACAATTAAAGCTTAAATAGGAGGTAATTTATATCGCTATGATATGCAAGAGGCTTCTTTTTCATTATCTAAGCATTGGCTTCCTGTAGTGTGAATTTTTTGAGTACAAGAATACCATGTATGGGACTTTTTTATATGTAGGTTAGTCCTGCAGTTGTTGCCAAAGAGCTGTCAGTGTCTGACACGGATGTATCGGAAGTATCTTGGACTGATAATGGGACCTTTAACTTATCCGAAGGGTATTCTCCACAGACAGACACATCTGATGGTATGTAATGGCTTCATATATTTCATCAATGAATTGCAGTCATGTAAGTTACGTGAAAATGATTAGAGAATTTGAGGACACAAGTTTTTTGGGGTGGTTTCTACACACCCTCCCCCATGAGTCTAAAATTAATCCCAGTGTTTTATATCATTTGGATACATCCTGTGTAAAGACCATCCTCATCTTAAAAATCATCAAGTACATCAGTAACTGTCTAAATAAATAAGTAGTGGTGGGTAAAACCGACACATTCAGTAAGTGCCAGATTTAGCTCTGTCTTCCACCAAACCTTTTACGCAAGTAAACCTTTTAAGTTGGTATCAATGCTTTTGTGGGTAAGCTATACAAATAAAAGCTGAGGAAGAAAAAGTTAATACTTTGAATTTCTAAATAGCCAATTAAAGAATATATTATTAGGTGTTGTTACTAGAATGCTAATGAAGACAGCCAGCAATGAGCCTAAATTAGATGTGAAGACTAAGACTAGGAAAAGTTTCTCAAGCACTTGGTTGATCTTGACCAGATCTTTAAGTTCTTACTTTTTACAGACCAAGCCTTCAGTTAGCACTTTGCCTGAATAAAGATCAAGGACAACAGTAGTTTGGTGTAATCTTATCTGTGAATTTGTTGCTCTGCTCGTCTTGCATTTCTCCTCTTCTAGGAAAAGTTCACTGTAAATGACAAGTAGGGTGATATTACTTAGCAACATTGTACAGGTCAAATTAATAATTTAAATTATTTTGTTAATATTTCAAGTTGTAAATAGACAGCATTGTATGATCACAGAATCATAAGTTGGAATGAGCTATTGTCATTCATCTCATCTAACTGCGTATTCAAAGCAAGTTCAACTTTATCAAGTTGCCTAGGGCTACGACCATTTGAATTTTGAGCATCTCCAGTGGTAGAGATTCAGCAACCTCGCCGAACAGCCTTTTTCAATGTTTGCTCACCATCATGATGAAAAAGTCTTTTCTTATTGTGAGTCAAAATTTCCCATATTCCAGCTTCTGTCAGTTTACTCTCATCCTTCCACTGTGCACCTTTAAGAAGAGTCAGGTCTCATCTTCTCTATACCTTCCCATTAGGTAGTTAAAGACAATTGTGTGATCCCGCCTTTGCTGCCTTCTCTTAAGGCCAAACAAAGGCCATTCTCTCAGCATCTCCTCATATGTCCTGTTCACCAGCCCCCTAATAATCATGCTGGCCCTGAGGGCACTTACTCCAGTTTTTCGTTGTCTGTCTTGTCCTGGAGAGGTCAAAACTGGACAAAGTACTCCGAATGGGTGCTCTCAGGTGCTGAATAGAGGGGGAAAATTCCTTCCATTGACTTTCTGACTTCATTTTTGCTGGTATAGCTCAGTGTGTGGTTGGCCTTCCTTGCTGCAAGGGCATACCACTGACTTGCTGTCCACTGGTCTTTTTCTTGAAAGCTGCTTTCCATCTTGTTGCCCCCAGCTGGTACCGCTGCACAGGTTATTCCATCCTTGATGCAGGACTTCACATTTGCTTTTGTTGAATTTAATGATGTTCCTTTTCAGCCTGTTCATTTCTCCAGGTTGTTGAGGTCCCTCTGAGGGCGCCCTGCCCTCCAGAATATCAAGTACACCTGCCCCACAGCAGTTCCTTTCTGCTCGTGAACTTACCGAGAGTGCACTCCACCCTGTCATCCAAGTCATTAATGAAATCATTGAACAGTGTTGGTTTCAGTACCTTTGAAAGACACCAGTAATAACTGGCCTCCAGTTGGACCTTACATCACTGATCACAGGCCTTTGACCCTGGCAGTCTGGCCAATTTTGCACACCTTACAGTTCACTTACCCGGTTCACTCATCAATCTGGCTGTAAGGATAATGTGGGAAACTGCATTAAAGGCCTTGCTAAGTGAAAAATAAACAATATCCACTCTTCTCCGCTATGGAGCATTTCAGCAAATGGATTTACACACAAGTGCAAGACCAGATGGGATGCACCCAAGGACTGGCTCATCTCCTGGCAAAGCTCTGTGCATTTGAGCCACCACTCTGCATACAGCACAACCCTTCCTCCTCACCTTCCCAGCCTGTTTTTCCTAAAGAAAATGGAGAAAATTATGTATGAGACATTTTTAGAATTCATTTTCTTAGCCTTTATGAATGCTCCTATTGCTTGTTTTCATAGAAAGTAAGTTCAAACTGATTATTTTTTACCTTCTCATTCAAGTATTAGATCAAAGTATTCCCTTATGCTCATTTAGGCCTCTTCCACAGGCCATGTACTGTACAGTATGTTATACACATTTCTAATAACAAATATCATGCCATTAATGCAGCTATTAAAATCTAGTATTTTATTTGTTTATATTCTGCTTTTTATCCTCTTGAAAACATGAAACAATCCCAGTCATCTGTAGAGTTTCCATTTTCTGTTTCCTATTTAATACAAGCATTGGCCAAGAAAGGAAAAAGTTATAAATTAAGTATTTACATCGGTTTTATATCTTTATTTAAACATGTAAACATTCTTTTTTTTTTATTCTATGAGTGTATTAAAAGCTTGTAATACATTCATACATGCTTACATGTTTGTAATTTATCTATATTGTGAAGAAAAAGAGTTGAGAGACCTGTTGTCACTTTATAAATGTTAGGACTTTATGTGGTTGGTATATTTAGGACTAGCTGTGCGTAAGATTTGCATGGGTTGTTTCATATAAAGCTAGTTACAATTTAAAAAAGATATTTTTCTCAAATAACTTTCTGAGTTAGGTTGATACCAGGTGATTTGTGGTACTAGATTTACAACCTCAAAACCATTTTATTTTAGATGTCACATAAAGCTCCTCTGCATTGAGACTACAGAAGACTGCTAGACTATGGATTACTAAATGTATTCGAAGGAACACTTACTAATTGCATTTTTACATTTGGCTGCTTTTTGGGGAAGCCTTTTGTGTCTGTTAACGCTGTCTCCTTCTGTAATCCCTGTAATAGATTTTGACCGACCTAGTGATCATGAAGAAGCTTTTGCTAGAGAGCTTTCAGAGTTTCCTTCTTTAGAAAATGGTGCTGGAACAAATGATGATGATGACTCAAGCATCGGTATGCCCATCCAGCAAAAACGAAAAAAAGAACAAACAGATTTCAAGGTGGATCGTGCTTCCAGACAGAGTAAAGAGAGACCATCCACTGCAGGGCTCTCCTTGCCTTTGACCAGTGACCAAACCTTTAATTTAATGAGTGGAATTGCTGGGGATGTCATTGCAGCTGCGGTGTCTGCTGCCATCAAAGACCAGTTGCAGTCTGCACAGCAAGTTCCCTCACATGCAGTGCCCAGTTTGAGCGAGGAGACAGACACAGAGGAAGCTGATGATTTTGAACTGCTCGACCAGTCTGAGCTTGAGCAGATTGAGAAAGAATTGGGACTTTCACAAGGCCAAGAAGCAGAATCCCAGGAAAAGAAAAAATCTTCAGGCTTCCTCTCAAATCTGCTTGGAAGTCATTAACCTGGAAATTGCAGCTGGTAACATAGAAGAAATTAAACATAAAACACACACACAAAAAAATCAAATGCAAAAAAAAAAAAAAAAAGGAAAATTCTGAGCTGTAAGCTTTAACTATCCCTTTAGATGTGTTGTAATAATTTCCCTTATGCAGAGTGAATTAACTGGATAAATATCAGCTCATACTGATAGTTTAATGTTTCTGGTAGTTATACCTCAATGTAATAGCATGGAAATGAATTATCTATCCACTGTTTGGTTGCAGACGAGTGTTGGAGGTCAATTGTTCAAAAGAGTTGGGGGAGAGGGGTTTTTTATCTTTTTGCCAAGCATGATTTTGGTGTCCTGAGCCAAATTTTCAACATTGGCAGTTTATTTACTCTTGGTTGCCAACCATGTAATACAATTAATGATTCACACAGTGAGGGTAAGTTATCAGAGAATTGCAATGAGATTAACTAAATCTTGCCTCCTCCAGTCATACCAAAAAGTATGAATCCCTGCATTATGTATAGTGCATCTACTATATATGAAACACATTAACCAGCACAACTCTAGTTTAAATGTGTGTGCAACACTATCAAAGAACTTGATTTCATACTTAAAACTTTTGAATTATTTTGGATATGGTGATGCATTTCCAAGTTTTTTGCTGTTTTAGGCTTGTAGAGTTGTGAAGTAGCATGCTACTTGACTGACCACCTTCTGTGTTCCTTGATAGAGTCTGGTCCTTGGCAGTATTGCCCATGTAAAGTCAGCCAACACGTTTTTATATTTAAAAGTTAGTATCATGTAAACAAAACAACCTTTTTTGGAGCAGGTGAGGGTAGTTATTGTTTGGAATAGAGGTTAGAGGCAAAAAAAACCCCACTCCACACATGCTGAGTGAGTGGCATGGGATCTTAAGCAGGTAACTTATTTAACTTTTTCTAGGGCTTTTTTGTTCACCCATGACAAAATTGAATGGTAATACCAAGCAATAATAATCAAAGAAATAGGAAGAAGTAAAGCTAGTTGGTTTTTTTTTTAATGTGATGTAAACCATTAGCAAAGTTGAGGGACCATGTCAGCTGCTACTACTACTGAAGTGATTTTCCATTTGCTGGCATTTGAAGAGGTGAATACTGTCATCTAGGACCCTCAGAAACTACAGCAACAGGTTATAAAAATCTTCCACTAACATATATGTGTAGGTAAACCTGTGTTTAAAGTTAACTCCATTTTTTTTTCCTTTTGAGGTGAAAAAATAGGCAGATGGCCAAAAACAGCGTAGCAAAAGGAAAGATGCTGAAAATGTCCGACACTAGTTTTATCGTTGCTTGTGCTTTTGTATCAGTAATGCATATTGACTGTGTTTGCTGTCCGTTACCAGTAAAAAAGTGAGCCTGTGCCTTCATTATCAAATCCATTACAAAGTAAGCAGATGCTGGATATAGATCCCACAAGACACAGCTTTTGAAATTACATCATCTTAACATTAAAAGCAAGTTTCTGGAAATTATTAAAAAAACATGGCCACCTCACTTCCACAGCATTGGTTGCTAAGTTTCCTTTCTAGCTTCCCCCAGCCTGTCCTTCCCGTTTGAAAAAAATAAAAGAAGCTTTTGCTGGGAAATCAGTAAGTTTAAAGGCCATTTAAATTTCTCAGATGAGTTAAAGGCCTCGTTTCCTTGCTGCATGTTTAGGACAATCTATACAGTTAGGAGAATACAACTTCCAAGTTGCTGATGAAGCTTTGTAGGACAGCGAAGCAACTGTGTGCTTCCTTGTACAGGCGTACTGGTGCCAGGAGGGGAAATGGGCTACCAGACAGGGAGAGGCGGGATGGAGGGAGCAGTCTTCACAGGCATTGACGGGACAGACTGGCTGGCTGTCAATGGTGGCATTACAACAGCGTGCACTTTATTGTTGTTTTATGAAGAATACTTGTTATAAAAGTACGTAACGCAGGGGCACTCTTTTAGAATGATAGATTAGATCAAGAAGGAAAAGCAGTTGGGAGTAATTTCTCAGACTTTTTGTAAATGATCCATTTTCTGGTTTCAAGATAGAAGTATAGCTCGATTTTTCTCCAGTATGAGTCTCAATTTATTTTATTTTTTTCCAGAAAGAAAAACAAAGCAAAACTTGAACAAGCAAGTCATTAAAGTTTAGGGGCATAATTGCTGATTTGAGTGTCTTTAGAATTTTGTTTTTCTGTTCTCATGGTAGTTGATTCCATTCAAGCCCCTAAATACTGTGTAATGGGAAGGAGGTAATTTTGTGACTTTTAATATTCTTCCTCAGGTATTGGAAAGATGCTTAATTTTCTGCAGGAATTTACCTCTTCCCTCCCAAACAACCGCACCTAAGAAACACTTTGCTTGGATATGATACATTCCACTGCTAGCCGTTTGACAGCAAAACACAAAGAAAACGTTTCTCTCCTTTGTGAGATCCCTTCCACATTGCCTTCAGTTGGAAATCCCTCAAGAAACCTTCATTTTGCAGTATTCTAGCAGCAGCTACAAAATAGCCGTTACTTAAAAATTCCTGTCACAATGGTCCACAGCGTCTTTCCTACCAAGCACTGTCATCACCTTCCCATCTTCCAAACCTAAATACACGAGCAGGAAGAAAGGCAAGCGAGTAGGAGGCAGCACATAGCTTTGAAACGTGCATTTGTTCTGTGGAAAGCCTGCTTGCATGCAATTTCCAGTGAAAAGGCAGTACAGGCAGCGTAGAGGGCATAGATCAGAGCGTGGATGTGTCAGCAAGTGCTGTAGGGTTAACAGAGGGTATGATCTTGCCATGGGATCAGTACTGCTTGCATTATCTGGTGTGCTCTTACCTGGTAGTAAATTGGGGACGCCGTGTATTTTTGCAATAGCGTGGTTAAGGTGCTCACCCTCCCTCACCTCGCAGTGGCTTCTTCAGGCATCCCTACTAGAAGAAAAGGATGTGTGTCAGGGCAGGGTCTGTCGGATGCAGTTCAGTCCTTTGTACTCGGAAAATTTCCCCGTGCGTTAGTACACCTGTGTGACAGACGGAGTGATCGCCAAGTGATCGGTGGCCTTAGGTGTGTCAAATCCAGCGTAAAAGCACCCGTTTTCAGCACACGGGGCCTTTCATGTGTATGTACGACACACCTACTTACCATTCTTCAGTTTGTTCGTGAAAAAAAAATTAATTCTATGCAGAGGAGGGGAAATAATTTTAACCCAAAGTAATAGAATCTGAAGAAATACTCGTTTTACTTGGTTTTTGTTCATTTTGCACTTTTTCCCGATGTTTAAGCCTTCTGAACAAATTCCCTGTAGTCTCCATGTCTGTTCTCAGCACACGAGCAGCGTTAACAGTCTGTAAGTAAGACCTATCCGGGTAACCAGAAACTGGAAAATTACAAAATGTCTGTCTTTAAAGTATTTTGCAGCACTTTACCTAGCCTGAGTACTATTTTGTAAACATGGGATTATTATATTGATTGTTTGTAAAACCATTTAATAAATATGTGTTAGTTTTTATCTTTCATCGTATCCAATTGTATGTTTGTTCCCAAAATAGAACAAACCCCAAAAAAACCCTTGAGTGGAGTTTCTGCCGCCCCCCTGCTCATGCCCTTCCTCAGCCCGACCTGGGCTCGCACCCGATAAACCTTCACCGTGGCTCTCGGCCGCAGAGGTCACAACGTGAAATTAGGTTTCAGGAGCCGAACCGGGACTCCCGGCTCCGAAGGAGGGGTGGTTTTGAGGGGGGCAGGAGAGAAGCCCCCGCTCCTGGGTGGCCCCCGCAGCCCAGCTACCGCAGCAGCGCAGGCCGGGGCGGGGGGAGCTCCCTCCTCCTCCTCCTCCT